CAACAGCGTATTATTCGCTTCCTTAATGAATATACGATTATCATATTGTTGCACAATAGACTTTCCTCTACATGGCGCTCCCTGGGCAACGTATATTCATACGGCAAAAGTCTATTAACTGGCAGTTGACTTCTCACTTCAAACTACCATCACCTCACTCTATGCCATAATCGACTATTTCCACAGTGCTCACCTCACCTCTTACATCTTTGAAACACTCTTCTGTTACCACCCCCTCCCCTCTCGACTTTTTTTCAATTTGATGTTCCTCCCTCCCCTCTTAGTAGCCCGAAGTCAACTAAAGGGCTAATGATAACCATCAAGACGCCTGCCATTTGATATAAATAAATATTGAATCCCCTTCATTGCATTCTCGATTCGATTAATTTCCCCAATCTAACATTCCTTTTTACTTTAAAACAGTACATTAGATGACCTGGTAGCAAATGCATTGTCTTAACGGAGTTTGAGCTAGAAGACTCCTTAACAGACTTTTTTACTATACCTACCTCTAGTGTTGAGTCGTCGTAAGTAGTAAGTTCAGCAAAAACATTCCAAATCAACTCCCTCAAGGTAGAAAGAAGGTATCAAGTTTTGGGTATAACGTCAAATTCATAAAGAGCATGACTAAGCAAAGAGCCAAAATGTGATGTTATTGTTAACAATAATAGTAGTGGTTAAGGGGTAGAGAGAAAGGGAACATGGATTGATAGAGAGAGGGGGGGGGGAGATTGCAGAAAAGTGTAAGATTACACTTCGGTTAGAAGGTAAAGTAGTAATAATAGAAATATTACCATAGCAATAAAAAGAAGTAAAGTTCCACACACACACATACACACGCACTAATCAATAAATCAATCAACCAAGACGCGAGCCAAACAATACCAATGAAAGACAGCCATAATTAGGACGTATGAAGTAGAGTATGGAAATCACGACAAAATAGCACACTGAAACCATTCCTCGTTCCCTCCGACAACAGATCGGCTGATTGATTGATTTATCAACGTCAGAATGAGCAGTGAAGACAGAAACAACTACGCGTATTCAAAAATGCAAAACAGACAGGCAGAGAGATAAATGAAGAGGGGAAGAAAGGAGAGAGTAGGGATTATGATTAGATACGACTAAACATTGATTTTAGAGAGTTCGTGAGATCGACAATTCTCACAAGTGGTTGGAGAATTCTAAAAAAGAAGAAACCAAAAAGTAAATTATTCTGTGATATACCAGAATTTGGTAAAGTCACAAATCTAAGGTAAGAATAGCAGAACTTTGACCAAGCCGGTATTGTTATCTAAAAGGCAATCAGAGCAAGCAATATACCCGTCATTTTACTTACGCAGCTCTGTTGAGGTCACATTATCCTACTCTCGTATGTGTGAAGGAACGTTTCTCCATTGTTGCATAATTGCCTCTTAAAGTCAAAGGAATTCAATAACACTTCTTTTCTTCTGTGGTAACTCAAAGAGGACCCACTCAGTCACACACCTCCTTCCATGCTCTTCCCCCCACCCTCGTCTCTTAACTTTGGGACGGCACGAGTTTCAGATATTCCGGAATTTATAGGGCTATTGTGAATATTCCAGCTGGCATAATAAGAAGCACTAATTGCCTGCTGTAACCATAATTTAGCAACACTATGATAGTGGTCTACAGTTTTGTCAAGTACACTTCAAATATACAAAGTTGGTAAATAAAACGATTAGAACAAACTAATTTAATGGAGTTAAAGTGTACACGCGCACACACACACACTCTCTCTGAAAGCCTACCTGGCTAGGCCAAATTAGCTATCAGTTAAAAAGCTAAAAGGTGGAAATAATGTCAATACCAACCAGGCAAATTTAAAAAAAGGATCTACTTTACGCTATCAAACAAATAAGAAATGACCTGTTGTTGAAAAAGTGGCAAATTAATCTGAAATCTACGTTGTATAAGAGATCGATAGTTAGTGCAATTGACATCCAATTGCTTTCAAGGTAAGATCCAATTTTGAAACTCAATTCTCTTAAAAGGAGAAATGTAGGTAGGAGTTACTGTAACATTTCCACTACCAAAGCCCGTAATAGACCTACTTCAAAGTCCAGTTATCTATAAAACATCTAGAATTTTCCAAAACTCATTCAAGAATGTGACTGAAAACAACATAGAAAGTCGAAATGGGTTAGAACTCATCACTTACTTGCAGGAGCCCAGATATGAATATCTCCCTCATCATTGACCGATGCAATCATGGATGGGTGAGCCGGGTTCCAATGAACACCAGTGACAGGAATTTCGTTGCTGGATGCAGACATCATAGAGTGAACTGGTCGACAGCCTCGTGCAGTTCCAACACGCCAGATATGCACCAGGCCATCTAGAGTTATAGGAAGAAGTTATTTTAAAGGAACAAATTAAACCTACTTTCACTTCCGCAGCAAATAAAGTCCTCGTTAGCTCCACAGAAAGAGTAGTAAAGCTTCTGAGAAACCTGCTGGTGTCCACAGAATCGTTGAATGATGCCTTGGGCTTCCAAATCCCACAAAACTAGACCCTAAAGAGGAAAACCAACAATCGTCAATATAGTGTTTATAATAAGGCATTAAGTAATATCAAGACCAACTTTTCCATTGAGCGCAACAAGTAGGCGTTTGCAAGAGGGCGAAAGGACAATTGATTGGATGGGATAAATCTCCTTGATCAAGGTCACTTGCTGGATTAAAGAGTAACCTTGACCTTGGGTCGCAGGACTTGGAGGACCACCTGGGGGTGTTTGGGTAGCACCCACATTGGGTACCTCTGTGTTTGCTGTAACTTCAGCCGGGTCAGAGTCTGAACCAATGCTTGTAACGGCTTCGGCAAGTCCTGCAACCATTGAGGATCTGAAAGTGGATGAAAGAGTTCTCGTAAATACAATACTTACTTATTCGATTTTAGCAA